TTCCGCTTTGAAGTCCGTTATAAAGAAGGTGTTAAGAATATTAATGCCGACGCCTTGTCCTGACCACAACTGCAAGTTGAATCCAAGACCCCTATTCCTACTAAGACTTGTCCCGTCCGTTCAAATCTCGAGGTTGTTCCTCCAGATTCTGTGGTGGTTGCAGAAGATCCGGAACTGTCAGGCTTGTTACCTGACACTATGAAGGATCCCCAGATTGCCGCAGTGGTTTTATGTCCGTTATGGTCATGGGATAAACTTCGAGAAGCTCAAGAACAAGACCATGTGGTTTGCGAAGTTCGTGATCGAGTCTTAGTGGATGCTCCCTTGGGTCGTAAGGAATTCACTTCTCGTCTATATATGCCCTATAGGCGTATTTGGTCGGTTCTGGATGTCTGTGAAGGTGTTCTTGTTCGCCTTTTGAAGACAGACCCACTGGCTCCCGTCCGTTGTGTAGCCATCGTTCCTACTGCGTTGAGAGGCGAAGCTGTAGCCTACTTCCACGATGAGAAGGGTCACTTTGCGGAGAAACGGATGCTGGAGAATATGAAACAGGTGGTTTATTGGCCTAATATGCATGTTGATATCAATGAGTACCTACAGAAGTGCCCTGGTTGTCTTGCTGCTCGTGCTGGTCGTCCGACTCCATCCCCTTTGGTACCGGTACCGGTTGGAAGGCCATGGCATACCTTGGCTGTTGACTACTTGGAGATCACGCCTGCGGTAAACGGTAAGAAGTATTTGTTAGTCTTGCAAGACTACTTTACTAAGTGGGCTGAAGCTTATCCGTTAGAGCGTGCTACGGTAGAAGAGACCTTACCTCATCTCTTGAACCTCTTCTCTAAGTTCGGCCCTCCTGTCCGTATTCACTCTGATCAAGGTGCCCAGTTTGAGTCTGCCCTCTTTAATCGGGTTATGGAAGCTTTGGGTATTAAGCGATCCCGCTCGTCCGTTTACCACCCTCAAGGTAATGGACTGGTAGAGCGATTTAATCGTTCGTTGTTGGATATGCTACGTCGTCATATTGGGATCCCTGATTGGGTCTCCCATTTGCCTGCGTTACTTTGGGTTTACAATACTTCTATACACTCGGTTACTGGGTTCAGCCCCTATAAGTTGATCTTTGCTCGTGATCCTCCCTCGGATTTCTTGCCTATGCCAATGGCTGCCACAGATCTCATGTTTGACCCTGCTACCTATGAGGCCTATACTGATGCTGTCCGTGCTTACTTAATGGATCAGTCGATATGGCTATTACTCAAGCAGCGGGTAATGCTAAGCGGCATTATGATCAGAACCTTGTCCCGCAAGGATTCTTTGTTGGTGCCCGTGTT